GCGGCTCGGGCCGAGCCGGGCGGACTGCGCGCACCCCGGGCGTCCGTGCCATCGCCGAGGCGAAGCACGTCGGTCTGGGCATCTTCCCGCGCTACTCTAGCATTTGAAGGGACCAGACCCCAGAATAGAAAAGCGGGGCCCCGATCGTCCTTTCAAGCGGCGAGACTGGTAACTTCAAGTCTCAGCTGGCCAGGCCGAGGGCCCTCCCGGGGGCAGCTCCAGCCGCTCAGGGGCCCCCAGAAGCGGCCTGTGGAGCCGCCCTGGGTTCCTTCTTTTTTTCCTCCACTGCGAACTCAGAGTCCCCACTAAGCATACGTCGTGTTCGTGTCACTGGAAATACAAAGGGTGGAAAAATAAAAGCGTTTGCCCGCTCGCTCGGTGCCTTCGCCGTCTCCGCTCTGTTCATTGCCCCCGGGGCCACGTGCGCCCGGCCCTCCACCTGCTCACCCGGCTCCCGGCTGAGGGCGCTGACCTCGAGCGCGCCTTTGAAGGTCGACGAGACGCCGCGGGTGCGGGGAGTGGAGGGGGACTGAGCGGGGGAGGCGGGAGAAGCACCTGGTCCAACAGAAATGAGCAGCAGCTGGGCGGATCAGGGACCTGGCTGCTCAGGAGCTCCTCTCCCCGTGTAAGTGCTGGCTCCTGCAGCCCAGAAAGCGGAGCAAAAGTGTACCTGCCTGAGTGTGTATGTGTGTGTGTGTCTGTCTGTGTCTGTATCTGTGTGTGTGATGGGAGCCAGGGCGCGTGCCAAACTGCTTAGAGTTTGTTCAAGTACCGGCTCGGCCCCCCCACCCCCCCGTCTTCCTCCCACAACCACTGGAGAGAAAAATTCTGGAGATGGATTGAGATGTGGTAACGAATGAAATTCTCCAAACAATGGATTTCTTCCCTCCAGACGGTTGCCCTTAACTTTTCTTGGAAAACTAGGGTACCTGCCTGCGCCTCCCTTCATTTCTGGCGTCCTACCTGGGTAGAGATCGCGCTGGCTCGCAGGCTCCCTCTCTCTCCTTCCTCCTTCCCTCACTTTTGTTCTCCTTGTATTCATAAAGATCGAATCATCGAAGCTCACAAAATCGAGTCTCACAAACACGCACAGAAACCTAGATTGTCTACAATACATGACGAATGAAGAGGCTCTAGTCAAGAAGAGTCAGTCTAGAGTATCTGTCATCTTTAGTTTCTGAGCCTAAATTCCCTTTCATCCTTAAAAACGCATCTTCTATTCCAGCTCCCACCTCAGCCTTTCTTGATGAAAAGGAATTACTGAAATCACATTGCAAGATTAAGATCTTTCCAGTGGAAATCTCCTTCTGAGAGTCTCCAGAAACTTCCGTGGGAAGGGCTTCATAATCACAAACACAGACCTGAGGATGATGCATTCAGACTCTGCTTTCACCAAATTCTAAGTCAGTTGGGAGAGGTGAGCCTTGAAACTTGGGGAAGAGGAATATTTGTTTCTTGTATATTGGGTAGAGGAAGTGTTCGTTGTGACAGTTGTGAACATAACTGTTTATATTCTAGAAGCCGAAGAGAACAAGGGATTAAAAATTTCAGATTATGTAAATGTAGCTTTCCACATAAAAATGATATTAGTATATGTACTAGCCTATATGATCAATTAAGAAATAAGGAGGTAATGGAGGTATTCACCAGGCTTTTCTTTTATCTTTTCTGTAAATTTGAAATTTATTAAAACAAAACTAGAGAAAAAAGAATGGCCCATAGGTGTTTTCAGCAATCCTCTTTTGTAATTACAGCTTCATATAGTTGCATGTCATGTGAGATGTGAATTGGAGAAGATTTGAAGGGAACCTCTCCCCTTCAACACTGCAGTAAAAATGTAAGGCAAGTGGATGTTCAGATCTTCACATGTGTTTCAGGATGGCAGAGACCAAGTATTTCTAGTTCACAAATAAAAAAATTATGTGTGTTAAACAGTACTAGTGTATGTGTGGAGGGGGGAGGTGTTTGGTTTTTAAAAATCTTTTCTCACTTCTTTTCCAGGAGAATCATGGGAAAGCATAAAGACACCCCTAGCAGGTTGCAGCCCCACTTTTGCCTGTCCGGTGCCTTCCCCAGCCCCCCAAGGGTGTTCTTTGCTGTGACTGGATGAAGAGAAAGGCTGAGTCACCCAGTGCACAGTTGAAGTGTGACTGCCAGGAAGGGCTGCTAGCTCTATGTGTTCTTCTCTGCACAGCAGCCTGGCCTTCCTTGACCTGCAGTGATCAGCCAGTGTAGGCCCTTTTTCTTAGGCATTTCTCATCAAATGTTGTTTTTGTTTCGTTTTGTGTTTGCCAGTCCTTGAATTCAGGGCCTGGGCACTGTCCTGGCTATCCCTCTACCACTTGAGCCACAGCACCACTTCTGGCTTTTTCTGTGTATGTGGTATAAGGAATCAAACCTAGGGCTTCATACATGCTACACAAGCACCCAATCACTAAGCCACATTCCCAGCCCTCTTTTCCTTTATTATAGTAAAGAAGAATCTACTGCTAAGTGATAGATGTTAAGTACTATGAACATAGTAAGCCCATGAGGTAGCTACCATTTCTATGTTTTATTACTGAGGAAACTGAGTCTCAGACAACCATAAGAATTTGCTCACTTTGAAGGAGCAGACACAGGCTCAAGGTAGGACAGTCTGTCCCAAAGTTCACCCCACCCCTCCCTCTATGGCTCAGCACCACGGAGCCAGAATCTCACCTTCCTCTTTTGGTTGAGATTCTGACTGCACCTTCCAGCGACTGTCAGACACCACCTACACTGTGATTCAGTTTTGCCACTCAGGTCAGTAAGGGAAATCAGTAATAAGAAAGCATGCAGAAATGAAGCATCCTGGAGGGAGATGGTAGGAAAGAATAGAAAAAAAGGACACATGCTTCTATTATTCTAGGGTCATTCTCAAACTTGCTGGGATTCTGGCTCTGTTTTATAACATTAATGAATGTTTGCTGGACTCCAGGAGCTGGTTCTAGAGGTGTTTTTATTTCTGTGTGTGTGTGTGTGTGTGTGCGCGCGCGCACGCGCGTGCTTTATTTCACTCAATACCACTACATTGCAGACAGAGAAATTTGAAGAACCCATCCAAGGTTACTGGGTGTTTCAACAGCAGAGAGAATGTTTACTCCCTGTTCTGAGTCACTATGAAGATCACTCTTCTACTCAAACATTGCCTACCTTTCAGAATAATTGTGAGCATCCCCCTGCACGTGAGGCCATCTCAGGCACCATGCTCTTCCATCATGCATGATGCATGATGCATGCTCTGCATGCTAGCAGACTGCAAAGCTCAATGATACCTAGAACTCCTGAAACCCTGAGTCAGAGACTGTCTCATACAGTCGCTGGAACCACTCTGGAAGTGAATTGGAATTGTCTATTAAAAGTACAAGGAGCCTGGTGCCAGTGGGCTTGTGCCTGTAATGCCAGCTTCTCAGAAGGCTGAGATCCAAAGGATGGTGGTTCAAGGCAGGCTGGGCAGAAAAGTCCACTAGAGTCTGTCTCCAAAATAGCCAACAAAAATCAGAGCTAGAAGAGTGATTCTAATGGTAGATCACCAATCAAGCAAGCAAATTGAAGAAGTACAAGGTTGTAAGTTCAAACCTTGAGCAGTATTGAAAAAAAATTGCCACAAGGGAAATGGCTTAGCAGTGACTCTTCTAGGAATCTAGCCTATGGCCTTACTTGCAGCAATAATCAAAGTGCATCGTGTAAGGGAGTTGATAATAGCAAAAACTAGAAATAAAGCCATGAGGAGCAACTTGCATAAAGATGGTCCCAATTTACAAAGGAATACAACTTAACTCTCAAAATGGAACAAGTAGATCTCTATTCACTGCACTGGAGAGGTTTCCTAGAGATATTATTATATCTGGAAAAAGGGTAGATAAGGTAACAGCACAGTAGTGTGGCTAAATTTGCATTAAAAACAAAGAGTAGGGCTAGGAATGTAGCCTAGGAGTGGAGTGCTTGCCTAGCATGCATGAAGCATGCATGAAGCCCTGGGTTCCATTCCTTAGTACTTCATAAGGAGAAAGGGCCAGAAGTGGCGCTGTGGCTCAAGTTTATAAGAGTGTTAGCCTTGAGCCTTGTAGCCTTGGGACAGTGCCCAGGCCCTGAATTCAAGCCCCAGGACTGGCAAACAAAAAAACAAACAAAAAACAACAAAGAGTATAGACAGTTCCTGGAAAAATCATGTAATTAATGTAAAAATTATGCAGTAATTAATGTAAAAAGTATGCAAGTAATTAATTTCAATTTAAGTGCTTCTAGAAATTGGAAGATGAAACTTTTCCTCTATATCAGTTGCATATTTGATATAAAATGTAATGAAGTATATACTAGTTTAAATTTTTACTATGAACACTGTTCTTTTATTAACTAGTGACAGTAAAACTTGATGATTCATTTTCAACTCATAATTGTTAACAATTGGGGCTGGGAAGGTGGCTCAGTGGTAGAGCACTTGCCTTGCATGCTCGAGGCCCTGGGTTCAGCACCACATAAGCAAA